ACATTTTCTCGGGGGGTTTTTTTTATCGTCGCATTGTTTCCACAACGGATGAAGATAACTCCGTGTCTGTAAATAAACGGGTTAGTAGAAGGAGAGCCTAAATAAAGTTCTAGAGGCCGTATGCGCTCGAGCATGGAGTCAAAAATAATATTCAGTCGGGATGAACCTTTGCAGATGTTTTTGTTACCATATCTAAAGATTATTTATTAAGGTCCTATGAGTCCTATCTTTGGGTTATTTATGGTTTTGGATTCTAGTCTGATAATCGGGTAAAATAAGTTTCGCTGCATCGCATTCAAGATCGATGAAAATGGGCTTTTTCGACGCATTTTCGTCAACAGTTACACAATTTACCCCGCCTATTGTACTCGTATGTTTTAATCGTGGTAAACGTATATTAGTATCTATTAAATCTTCATCGTATTTCCATCATTACCTGCGTTCGGCATTGTAAATCTAAGGCGTCGGAGTGCTCTTCCTCCCTTTCTATCTCATTCTCCTCTCTCGCTCACTCGAATGCAAAAGAATACTTCGAAGTCTCGGATTTGAAATACCGAACGCAGCTATTGTACGGTTTCCGCAAGCGAGGTCCACCCTCTTTACCAGCAGAGTGGGTGCGGGGAGGGTGGTCGAAGGCCCCCTTACACCTTGCGCGCGCGCGCATACGTGTGCGTGTGTGTGTGTGTGTGTGTGTTCTTCAACGCACATGGTATCGGTATCGTAAACTACATAGCATTTATGTGAAACTACTTTTTTAAAATAACTCTTTAATGAATAATGAGCGACGGGAAATGTCAATGGCCTTAACCTCCTTAAAGGTCAAGCTCAATATCAAGGTCAACCAGAAATCATTTGGTGGGGGGTGGGGGTGGCTTATAGTAAATTTAACTGAACATATTATACAGGGTGTTATGCAATACCCGCATCAACGCTTATTGTGGGATAGAGTGGACTAGACTAAGTCGAAAAGTCCTCTACCATTTTGCAATTTTCGCAAAAGTCAGCGAGTTATTAATTATTAAAAATCGCTGTTTTAGGCCGGCCCACTGCCCAATTCAAACGTGCGGCGAGATCGATCGATCGTTACTAGGCGCGCAGAGAGTTGTAACGATCGATCGATCTCGCCGCACGTTT